CCGGCTCCAGAGACTGCCGGTCCCGTCTGCCAGCTCCTGTCCCGCCCCAGCCTCCCTGCCCAGCCTCCCTGCCCAGCCTCCCGGCCCAGCTCCAGGCGCCCCTGCCCACTCACCATTCCCTGGAGCTCAGGAGCCAGGCTGCTCCCTAAGGGTCTTCAGACCTGCACAGCAGACAACCCGGACTCCGAAGCTGGAGAGCGAAGCCTGGAGACAACGGCAGAGATGGCGGACTCCGGGACGCGGCCCCTCCGTCAGGGGAACGAGGACGGCCGATCCAGGGCGCCTCCTCCGGTCCCACAGCCGAGCAGGTTTCGCGACCTCCAGGAGCCAATCGTCTTAGGCTAAAGTGACTCACTCGGAGGAAGCCGGCGGAGGCAGTCTGCAAGGATCTCCGTCCCTAGGGGAAGGGGCCGCCGGACTGGGGGGATCCTGCCCTGCAGCCCTGGCCGTGGGTTTCCTGCAAAGCTGACCTCAGTCGGGGAGCCTGCGGTTTCTCAAGCCGCTGGCTAGGGCAGAGCGCCCCTCCTGCAGGTGCTCCTGTGCGGTGCTGAGCGGCTCCCAGCTGCGAGCTGCAAACCGGAAGTGACCCGGACACCGGGCAGAGGACCCCATCGCGAAAGCCCGCCCCCTCCTCGCTGGCTGCACACAGGATTGGACAGTTCTCACTCAGTGCTCCTGGACCGACGGGGCTTCAGGCCTGAGGGTCCCTCGAGTCTGAGCCCAGTAACCTTCTTTTTGAGTAAAGGAAATAATACCCAATCCAGTCACGAATAAGGCCAGAATGACAGATTCTTGGTTGCAGTTTTTTTTTTTCTTTTTCCTTTTGAAGTCTGGTAATTAGACCTCAGAGCCTCAGGCTGCTGCTATTTTATGGCAAAATTGCCTTCAAAAGTAGGATCTCGACCAACCAGCAGAACATTTGCATCTAACCTTGCAAGTAAAGTCATTTCAGTTTATGGATTATATATGCCTGTATATTATCCATGAATGAAAATAATGCAATGACAACTACTATAAAATGTCTTTTAACTTTTCTGGCCTCTGTTCTTGTTAGGAGACAGATTGAACTTTGAACTGGGAAGAAACCCCCTAAAATAACAATGTCCAATGAAAACAACATGTAAGGCACAAGGGTAGTTTAAATATTTCTAGTATTCACATTAATAATGTTAAAAATGACAGTTGAAATTGATATAATAACATAATTCAGAATATCCAGAATATTATCTTTCTGTGACTAACCTAATAGAATACTACTAATGAAGTATGTGTGCTTTTGGAACTACATCCTCAAGTTTGACTCTTTCCATAATATCTCAGTTCACAGGAACCACATTCCAGATTTGAGAGCTATGGGTCCCCTAATTCCCCTAATATCAGGGACTTTATGGGCATGGTCTATCTCTTTATATGCTAGAGTTGAGCGGTACAGTTTCCCACTAATGTTTCTCCTCAAGCCCCAAAATTAGAAGAAGCAATGCCCTGAGTGGGAGCAGGAAGCTCCAACCAGGAAGTGTCCAAAAGTAGATCATTCTTTCCCACTTCATACTGGTCTCAGGTTCTTCCCATTGCAGGTATTGGACAGCAAGAAAAGGAAGATGGGGTCACAGGAGGTTAGGAACCCATAGCCTGTAATCTGCAGCAGTCTTGACTCTACTGTTTAAATAAATCAAATTCAAACATATTTAGCAGTTTGAGTTTATACCTAGTGACCAGGCTACAGCTAATATATGTTTCCTCCTATGGACAGACTCTCATAACTAATAAGCAAGTGGGCCGGGAGTCAGGATGAGCTGTGTCTGATTCCAAAGTCGAAACACCTCCAACAGATCACAAGACTCTTGCAACATTCCTTATTCTCATCAGACTTGGAAAGTGACAATTATTCAAAAGAGCAGGCTTTGTGATATATGTATATAAAATGCAGTCCTGCATATTACATAGTGCCACACAAACAGAACATTCTCATAGATCTCTGCTATCTTGGGGTTCCCATTCCAGGCTCCATGGAATCATGTTTCAGTTTACCTCAAAGGCGAACACCAGCTAGAATTTAATTCAACACCCTTTACAAATGAAAATATAGGTTGATATGGAACATATGATATGTTTAATCAGGGTTTTTAAATTATAGAATAGTCTGATCTAGAGGGATGTAAAGGACCACTAAGCTCTATGTTTTCAAAGCAAAGAGGGACTGCAGCACATTTCTTTTGTTGATGGCATAGTGCAAAAGGAGACCAAGGACGACATATAATTATTGGCAGTACACGAAAGATCAGAGAATTGGAATCTGGAGGTCAGACCAGGAAGATTTGAAATATTGTATTGGGGCACGTGAAGGACATGAGTGCCCATGATGAATAGGTTATAAACTTCTGAAAGATGATTGATATGGTGTCAGAGATGGTTTAGCAGTATCTACACAACAACTTCAAGGTGTTTTGCCAGCTGTGGAAGCACAGCACCTACTTATATCAAGAGCCCCCATGAAGCCATTATCCACTTGAGACCTCTAAAACATTCCAATTGTAGAGATGAGAGAACACAGGCTTCTAGGTATCAAATGGCTTCTCAGCAAGCAGCTTGTGTCAGAACTGAGAGCTGGCCAGGGAAGAACTGCATGAAATTCTTTCTAAGCTTCTCAGTCTGGTTTGCTACTGATATATAGAGAAATATTATTGCTTCTCCATTTTAAACAGCGAGCCTAGTGAGGATGTCCTAAGAGGTCCCTCTGACTTGAGAGACTATGGTTTATCCTGTTTTCATGTTAAGGGAAGTCTTTAGTATCAGATTGGGAAAATTGCAAGAGAGCACAACACAGGCCTCCAAATCTGGATTGACTCAGGGAAGAAAAAAATCTAAATGGTTGATAAATCATTTAGTTGAGTTACCAACTTGAGGTACCTCAAGTCAAGTTACCAACTTGAGGTAACTCAAATTTACAGTTGGGAAATTGGAAAAAAAATATAACAGTGTGATTTATTTGCCACAGGGAAAAGAAACTAACCAAGAAAAACAATTGTTTAAATGCCAACACCCAGGGAAGCCTGGCTGCAAAGAAGCAGCTACAACCAGAGATTTCCTGTGGCAATGTAACTTCAGCAGCTCTTCTGTGCTGTAATCTGGTTGTAGCTATTAAAATGTTACATGTGCATATACCTTCACTCAGTATTCCCTTTCCAGGAAGTCTGCCTTCAGCAGGAGACTAGTTTATGTTTTTAGCTGAATTGTGTCCCCTCCCCAAGTCTCATATAGTGTGGTTCCAAATACCTAGTGCCTCAGACTGTGAATCTATTTAAATATATAATTTTTAAAGACATGATTAATGTGAAAAACCAGCCTCTACCTCAGAGCAAAGCCTGTCCAAGGAAGGGGGCATGACCCTTGTCCTTGAAAAGACCCACAGAGCACTCCTAGGCACATAATACCCACCCTGCTGAGTTGTTTATCTACAAATAACAGGAGAGATCTGCAGCACCAGGTGTCCCTGACTCAGTCAGGCTAGGTGAGGGCCCATAGCAACCCCCTAGCAACCACCAATCAGCATGAGACAGGGAAATACCTGGGATTCCAGTAGTTTATGGTGGTTGATAACATGTTGGGAAACCTGTAGTTCAGCACATCCTCCCCTCGTGGCCTAAAACAATCAGTTAAAAGGAATCCCCCTCTTTTACTAACCAATCACCCTCACCCAACTTGTTCCCACCAGTGAATGTGCTAATCATGTTTTAGAGTTGTTTTATGACTTTCCTGCGGTGTGTGATGATTTGCTAAGAGATGCTATGATGTATGTGAAGTCCCTGCCTTCCCCAGAGAGTGTATAAAACTGCTGCAAACCCTGGGCTCAGGGCCTCAGCGTCATCAGTTGCTGTGTGTGCAGAGGACCGAGCTAGCTCGCAATAAACACCTCTTTGCTGCTTACATCGATCTTGGGTCTCTGGTGGTCTTTTGGGGGTCCCGAATTCGAGCATAACAATGTTAATCCAGTTAATTGGTGTAAAGTCTAATCCAATTAAATTTTTCTCCTTATAAAAAGCAACACTAAGGACACAGAGAAGCACAGAAAAATGTCATGCAAACATAGAGACAGAAGATAGCAATAGACATGTCACAGAGCGGAGCTCAAAGGAAATCATTCCAGCAAGCACCTTGATATGGACACTATGGAATTAGCTCAAATAAATTTCTGTTTCACCTCATCTGTTGCATTGCCATGACAGACTAATGGTACTGATACAATCCACTAGGACATGTATACTCTGTCCCTGCAGCGTGGCTGAATGAAGCTACAATTGAATCACATCACATTCCACCAGCAATGGAAAGGCTAAACTGCTGCAAGAAATGACATTTTTTACTGGAGTATTATGAAGGCATCTGAGAACATATTCCTTATCTGATGGTGCTATAGAGTGCCGCAGTCTGGCTGGGCACAAATAACCGAGCCGCCACAAAGCCTTGTAGGTTCAAACAGCAACTCTTTATTCCCCAACTCTCACCAGCACTCTACACACACTTCCCGGGAACACACTCCCTCCACTGGGCTCCGCGCGCCAATTCTCCCGGCACCCCGCGAGAACTCAACGGGAACTCCAAAGTAGCTGGGCGCCTGAGGCAGCAGGATCTGCCCTAATCCCAGCAGGATCTGAGCCACCCTATTCCCCCACCCCAGGATCCGCCCTAATCCTGGAGCCGCCCTAATCCCAGAGCAGGGTCACCTTTTAACCATTCCCTCTAGCAAAATGCCAGGCGTCATTCCACTAAACTGTGGCTCTCAACAATAGAAAATTGTTTTGTGGTTTAGTAAAATTATGAAAAACATGTAGACTCCTTTTACCTCATTTGTTTGTGAAATCCTCTCTCTTCTTTGTGTCAATACCTCCCTGGTAAAGTAGTTAGTTTTTAAGCCTTGTAAAGGAAGTAGAAGTATGGTGATGACTGGTACATGGGCTACCTGGGGCAGGTACCTAAAACAAAAACAGTAGCATCAGAAAAGAAATATTTAGTGCACAGTAAACATTGAAAATGATGTGGGAATAGTTTCTCTGTTATTTCCACAAGTATGTAATCTGGAGAGTTACACCTATTAGGTTGCCAGGGGAAGTAATACAGTTTAGATTTCTTTGGAAATTGGAAAGGAGGTCATTCAAGTGGTAAATTCCTGGTACAGGGTTTAGGGGAGTCTCTATACTTGAGTATTTGTCCTGGACCTATCTTGACTATCTCCAATTCCTGGCTGTGGAGATCCTTCTCCAGAAATCTAATCTAACCTTAGACCAGAGATATTATCGGTTGTGTAGTGCCCTTGTTCTTTCCCTAAGATACAAAATGAATAAGTAGCTCCACGATGATCTGCATAGAAGTCTGCAAAGAGATTGTTTTACATGTAGGAAAATAATTAACTCTGGTCATCCTGGCTGCCTCCACAGAGAGCACTCCCATTGAAATTTTTTATACCTAGATTAGCTATATATGAATATAGGCCTCCATACATTGGTGACACTGGG